GCACAATCATTACCCGCAGCAGACACCTGAAAGAACCCAACACCTATGGCAGGAAAGTAAATGCTGAAGGTTTGAATACCTTCCTTTAGTTCTTATCCTCAAAAGTGACTTATATACACAGTAGCTTATGAAGCATTTTAGATCCCAAAAACTCACATTAGAGAAACTGCTGAAAATTCAGTTCTGTTTCACTGCAAATTAAAGGTCTCAGAAGTCTGCACGCTCTACATACTCTTAAAAAATGGGGCTTGGGTTCCCGAGTAACTTGGCCAATTCTGAAAATTTTACCCATGACCATCGTTCATTCCCCTAAACGTTAAGCTGCAGAAACCACTCCCAAAACCAAGTCTGGGAAACAAATTTGCAGTCGCTCAGGGCAGCTCAATACTTAGCCTGTTGAGTCACCATAATGACCACAGAACGGATGGATTATATGATTTTAATAGGTCAGACACCACTGTTTTTTCCTTTACAATCACACATCCTTAAAACGACTAAGAAGTAGTTAAGTCAGACACGCGTGCCCACACTCTGTTTATTTTGAAGAGTCATCACCTCTTCTCCAGATGAATGCTGTTATATTTGCACCTGACCATACTCTGCTTTTCTTCAGTCAAGGACAGGGATTGACAGATGCATGCAAACAGCCTGCTGGAATAACAGACCTAATTTTCTAAATGCAGCTTTCTTGCTCCTCTATTACACCAGCACTTTTTGTAACCATGTGAAGGAGTTAATCCTGCCCGTAACTGTGCCTGTCTTTCACAAATACAATTGAAGTTAAAGAAATTACCAACATGTAGTTCTGGTTTTAATTAAACACTGATATGATATCAGGTTGTTTTTCTGCTCTGCAGTGATGGTTGTTAAGACAATAACCCTAAAAGTCTCAAACAGACAGGCATCCCAATGTGCCGCACACTGTACAACAGCCCAGGAAGGTGGCTGTTAAAATACACTCATAGAAGAGAGAAATGAATTCTCTTCCTCCTTCTGACTTTCCTGACCACATGGAAATTTTTTTCTTCCCACCATATTTCTCATAGGACAGTTACTGGCTCTCCCCTGAAAAATCACTCTGTGAAAAATAGTATGGAAGCTAACAGTGAAACTCTGAATATGGTGTGCGATAAGTAATACCCCAGCCCTCAAACACCCCCTGCGTGATTTCTGCTCTGCTCCCCACTTTATGATTTTCTTCCTTCATAACTGAGCACTAATGCCTGTTGAGTGGCTTCAGCAGTGCCAGGCAGAACACCTCTTGCTCTGTTTCTCAAAAAAAATTGAACAGTGATGCAAGACACATGAAGTTCTGGCCACAATGCTGTCAGTAGGATTGTTGGTTTAGACCTCTGGAGCACCAGGATTTCTAACTGGTTTGCAGTGATGTCATATTCAAATCTGAACTGGTAGATACTACCTTAAAATAAACACTTTTGCACCAACAGCAAAATCCTGCTGATGACTGTTACCTATTTTGTCAAGTGTCCTGAGATGGTGGCCAACAGTGAGTTGAACAAGAGCAAGGAAGGGATGATATACATATAGGAAAAAAGGAAGTAACTCCATGTAGTAGGCAATAAAGGATTAAAAAAACACATCCCGTGTTTAACAGGTAACGTGACACAGCTCTGCCTCAAGAGGTCTGGGGAACCGTTTCAAGTGCTCTCCTTTCACATCATACAATAACCCTACTGGCATGACCTCTTCCAAATGGGAAATGGCACAATCTACTCAATAAAGACATCTGTTTTCTTTTCTCCTGTTATCAGTTGAGCACTACATGAAACCAAAAGAGAAGACTGTCCCTGCCCTCCTTGTCTATGTCCAAAATCTTGATCCTAAAGGGGAAAGAAGCAGTGGGGCAAGACACACTGGAGAAAACGTAACATGCAGAGTGTAGCTAACTCTGGGGCTATAAAAGAAGTGAAAGCTTAGTAATGAATCCATCTGGAGTAGGTTTTCCTCTGAAAAGCTTAACCTAGGATCACCATTGGTAGTTCTTATGCTCTAAGCTGAAACATAGGCAGTCGACAGTATGACCCAGAGAAACACACACCCAACAAGCTGGCTGAAGCAACCATCAATAATTGCTTTAACAGCTGGCTCCGCTTGGTTGTACCGCAAGTGAGGCGTGTGCCCAAGTGGCAAGTGATAATGCTACAGTGTGTGCCCAGGTGGCAAGTGACAATGCTACAGCTGGCCGATGGGGAGCGGGCAGCCTTTACCAACGCAGTCACTGCATCTCGGGTGCTCTTGCAATGATTGCCAGGCAAAGAAGTGATGTGAATAAAGCAGCAATGGGATCTTTACCTTACGGTTATTTTTCAGGAGTTTACTTAAAACACTGGGTTGATGTAGGTATGAAAACGCCACATAGCAAATTACATGAATTTGAAACATATATCTAGAATAAAAACTGAAAGTTTTGGGTTTTCCTGTGGTTTTGAGCCTGCAAGCCATTCCACACAGACAGATCTTTGTGTCCCTGACTAACCTCAGTCAACTAACTTAAACAGGGCTGTGTCTGATTAAGGTCCACATTCGCAAGCTTCAGAAAAAGCTTTGGATAAAAATTTGGTTGTTGGCCAACCCTGATTGCTGCATGTAAGTTACATCTGATAGGAGCAAAATGTGTCCGTTCATGAGAATTTACACTGAAATTTCCTTAGAGACCAGGACAGCGCTATTTTTCTTGTTGCTTTTGTAGTCATTGCCTAGGCGTAATTACCCTTTTCTTGCCAACGTCAAAGCAGAGTGGGGGAGAGGTTATTTTTCAAAAGACAGGATAAATCCCCTCGCCTCTAACTTCTGAAGGCTTCAGTTTATGACTCACTGTGTCCACAGTGAAATGAAGTTGTGATCACAACTCCAGATGTGATCCAACACACATTGAAATCAATGGGAGTCTTTCCGTTGACTTCAATGGAAGCTGGGTCACGCCCTTAGCAGACACTAGCTGTGCACATAACAAAACCACCCTCCAGTTTTGGATGGCAAAATATATGGTCAGCCTGGAAACAGCAGGGATCCATGAGGTCGGAGACTGCCTACAACAAAAAATTAATATGGGAAAAACCAACAGAGAGATGCTTCAAGTGCACCTGTCCGTGCTCTGACTCTTTCTAGCACTATCATCCCAGACGAAACTGCGTCCAGAGCAAATATTTATGAAAAATGTAAAAAGAGCAGATCTTGGCAAAAGCCAAAATTTGCCCCAGAGTGGAAAATGTAGAATAACTATTCAATCCTAAAATAAAGTTTTCAAATAAAATAAACACAAGCTTCAAGAAATGAGCTCAGTACAACTAAGAAGTTAAAAAAGGCTTGCATCAGACTTTGTGGTGCAGTTTTATGCTTGTCAAACATGAAGGTCAACCTAGGACTTCTAGAAGAAAGTAATGAGCACAGCCATTGTCAGACTCTATGTTGTATGTTAGCAGGCCACCAACAGACAGCCAACTATATGTTGCCTTTAACATTCCTCATATGGCTCCTACATGAAAACAGTAATAAAGAAAAAAAGCTCACGATGAGGGAAAGCTAAGCTTGAAAATGATACTCACAGAACAGTTTTAGGAGTGTTTTCAGACTGTCAGGGAAATGACTGAGGAAGAGCATACACTTTGGAAAGATTAAAACAATGACTGTGATGTTGGTGAGAAATCGATCATTGTCAGGGAAAAAAGCCAGAAGCAAAGAGGAATATTGATCTTTCAATAGCAAAGACCATTTAGTTCGGATGATACAGCATTTGCAGGCTCATCTTCACCTTGGCTTATATATCCCCAGGACCAATGCAGTATTACTTGAACAATTTCTAGGTGGGAGAGGTGGAGGTACAGGCAGACTGGCTACCCTCACGCTGGCAGGTATGTCTTGAGTGGTGTCTGCGAGTTACTGATGCTTGGTACCCAGAAACATCTCACTCAGGCAGGCCTCCCCGGGCTAGTCACTTCTTCCACCCAGCCTGTCAGGGCCTGAGCTTGGCAGGTTGAGGAGACGGAAAGAGGCCCTTCTTCAGTCAGCTTTTTGCTATGCTTATTTTTCAGCAAATCAAGAAATGCACAATGATGCGGGGATTTTGAGGGGTTAGTTATGGCCTAACAGGCACATACTGTATAAACTGAAACAGGGAGGCCCTGCAGGGCTGTGCAATGCGGGTGAGTACACTGCACCACAGGTAACATGCATCCTGACACCCTGCGCTCCCTTAGCACTTGCAGGAACCGAGCATGGCCAGAGAGCTTGGAAAACGTGACTCAAACTTGTTAGCAAATTGCTGGGCTAGAACCCCCACCCCGCAGCATTATTCCTGCATTTGAGTGTAATCTCTTCATTATACCCATTATAACTCACATTTTGGGCTGTACTTTTGGAGTCGTTTCCCATTCCATTTGAAAAGAATAGTTGGGAGAAAGGAATTCTCTCCAAGGGTAAAAAAACTGACAATGTTGATTGTAAATCTCTCAAGATATATCTATCTATATCTGTATACCTATATATCTATACCTATATCTCTATATCTATATATCTATTCTGTATCTCTATATCTACATCTATATATCTAATCTACATCATCTATACCTCTAGCTAATCTATATCTGTATCTATATCATCTATATCAATATCTGTATATCTATATAATCTACATCTATCTACACATCGAATCTATATCATCTATAGCTATAGCTAATCTATATCTAATCTGTACCTATATCATCTATACCATATCATCTGTACCTATATCAAACCTATATCTGTATCTAATCGATTATCCCTACCCATCACCAACTCTTACCTACCGCTCTCTCTCTTACCTCCCTCTGGGTGTCTGTACACAGGCAGCACGGATGTGAGCCATGCCGGTGACAGTTTTCCACGGTCACCTCCTCCCCGCCGCCGTCCCCCGGTCCCCCCCAAGGGCCTCCGCCGCTGCCCCGGCCAATC